GCCTGATGGCAAGTACCTCATCATGAAGGATCCTAACAAGGTGGGCTAGAATTTCATATGGTTAATATTTCTTTTTTAGTGTTCTTTTCCTTTCTTTTTTTTCTGACTTTTTTTCATTTTTTCTATTCATTTGTACTATTTCTCCTTTTCTTTTGATGTTAATTTCTAATCCTGTTTAGACTCATTTTTTAAATACAATTTCAATTTTTCTCCTTATATTTGAAATATTTTGAATTATTTTTCATTATATTATTGTTTTAGTCATGTCAACTTTATTGAGATGCACAAATGTGTGTAAAGAAAAATTAAACTAAAGAGAAATATCAAGATGTTTTCGTGACCTTTTAATGTTAATAGTACCATTCACGAACCTGTTAACCTCATTTTATTCATATAATATAAAGAATCAGTAGTAACTATTATATGATCGTGATGATAGTAGTAATAGTAATAGCAATTATGATAAAGATAGTAATAATAAATAAGAGAATCCTAAAAAGAGCATTTCCTTCCCTCGCCTCCAGGCTATGATTCGTCTCTATGACATCCCAGACAACACCTTCGAGTCAGATGAAGAAGAAAACGAGAAACAAGGTGACGGTGAGGGTAAGCAAGCAGTTCCATAATGAAGCTTGTGTTTGCTTTTTATTTTGTTTCTTAATTTTTGCAGAGATCATTTCATGCAAAGGAAAAGGCATGCTAATGATTGCTGTTATTGGTTTGATATTGTTTATAGACTGATGTGAATATAAGAAGTATATATGTGAAATGTATATCCTCTGCCTTTTTTCTTCCTTCTCAGGTGATGAGTAGACCATGAACTCTATAGGGGTGTCTCATTTGAGCCACTGCAGTTCCTCCTCCATTGCCACAGAAAAAGCAATTGTGTCCAGCACTGACGATAGAGATCAACATGTCTGGCTGTTCTGTTTGGTATATTTTATGCTGTATTTCATATTATGGTGCAAGTCCTTCAAAAGATGCATTTTTTTTTTTTCTTTTCTTTTTTTTATATAATGTTTAAAAACTCTCACTAAATATTAATAAAGGAACTGCTTGGTTTTTAACTTGTTTTTTATATCCTAAAACTTAATAATTGATTGATGATTGACTCACTTCTCTCCCACCTTTTCAGCTGTGTTCTCTATACTTATCCTTTTCGTTTTTATGCTATTGTTTCTTTCCTGGCTGTCTCTGTCCCCCATTTTGCCTCTTAAAGGGGTGAGGGGTTTTGGGGTTATAGACCAAAAAGACTGAATTCTGTAATTTCTAAGAGATTTCTTCATTCAGAAGAATAACTACTAACTGAAAATAGATACTATACACAGATAATAAATGCGTTTCTCTCTGTTTATAGGGAATAAATGGATACATTTATTGTATGGTAGGATAAAATCAGTGAAAGAACATATTAGAAAAATGTAATTCACATAACTAGTTGATGACCTACACCATTGTTGCTCAAAAGCACAATTACATCCCCCATTCCCGTGCTCATTGTTTTGGGGGAGAGGGGGCTTAGGTGGTGAAGACTGAAGCCTAATGTAGACGATCACCCCTACCTTGAACCTCAGCCCTCACCTCAACTAATGATCTTTTCTTCTCCTCCACTTCTTCATCCCTTCTGCCACTTATCCTAATTATTAACTCATTCTTACCTGCTGTATCCAGAGGGAAGCAACAACAGCACCCACTTCTGCCATACTTTGTGATAATACTGTGTGACCTTTGATGTTTGGCACAGTTATTTGTTCTGACCATTGACAATTCTGGAAATCCACAAACATTTTGTGAACTAGAAAACTTGTTACCCGGTTTTGCTCACAAGCCCCACTCTATCGCAATATTTGGAACACGATGCTAATGACTAGATATTGACGCGGCCGAAAGTGTTCAATAAATAAGTAAGTAATACAAAAAATTTTTCTTTGTATTAATTACAACTGGGGAAGGAATTTGCACAATTGCAGAATACATCTCGAAGTGAAATAAAGTTGAATTATGATAAATTCTGCTCACAAATCCCACTCCATTTTCTTTAAATCTTACCTAGAACAAGCTTTCCTTGCTGAACGTTAATATTCCCAACACTGATTCTGTTATTATTATAACTTATTATGTTGCCATCTTTATTTTTACCATTGACGTTTATGCAAACATCAGTACAATTATTAAAGGAATTATCATCATACTACTGCTGTTGTCATACTAATTGCTTTCATATTGTCAATCACTTGGTCATAGTGGTATTATCATCATCAGTAATTATTATTAATATTATTATTATAGAGGAAAAAACAAGAGATCTTGCCAAGAGGAGTGCATGATAAAAAGCACTAAGGTTGCTGATGTGTATGTGTTGTGTGTCTGGTCGAATGGAATACATTGTTAATTGGAAAACAGAGCGCCATGACAGGCGTGTTGTTATTGGTTCACAATGTCTGACCAGAGGGATAATACCCCATCAGCACTCTCTCTCCTCTATCTAGGACATATGAGCCCTAAGCATCTGTGATCCATTAGTACCTGGGTGGAGAGGTCTATTTTCTACATCTTTTCTTCTTTAAACTGTCATGTTATCTAGAGATCGGTGTGCCTTCTACTCACCTGCTTGTTCTCAGCCTGCCATACACTGTATGGAGATATTATATATATATATATATATAGATATATATATATATATATATATATATATATATATATATATATATATATATATATATATATATATATATGGTATGTACATATGTATGTTTACATATAATTTAAATATATGTCGATGTATGTATATATGGGTATAATTATATATGTATGTATATAGTGTATATATATATATATATATATATATATATATATATATATATATATGTATATATGGGTATAATTATATATGTATGTATATATGGGTATAATTATATATGTATGTATATATGGGTATAATTATATATGTATGTATATATGGGTATAATTATATAT